GGAAAGTTGGCGGTTAATTTCCGGATACATATACCTTATCTCTGAAGCATTGCTGTCTGGACAAGAAGGACTCCTTTGGGGGTCAATGACTACGTTAGTACTAGACACCGACATCTTGTCTGGGGGAACCACCGTTATATGTCTTATATGTTGAGTTTGTTTCTTTCTCTTGGTTTTGTTCACAAAACATGATGTAAGCTTTTGTAAAAATATTGGAATGTTTTTGTTATCAGACCTGAAATAGAGAAATATTGAGAAAATAGCGGAGATAGAGACTAGTACACTGTATATCATCTGCCACATGAAGAAGTACCCGAGATAAGTCATTCTGTCCGAGGCCTTCGGTAGAAACGATATGGAATGGATGAAGTAAAACGATAAGGTTATGAATCCTATGGAGACTAATTGTCCGCGACCTTCCTCAGCAGGAAGCATAAAAGAACACGTGATCAGTATCGTTATCAGTAGGACAGGAAGGAGCAGGTTGATGACGAAATACACAGGTTTACGTGACATCGTTATCTCAAAATGTACATTTGAACTTTGACTCGAAAACGTACCGTATACATTTGACTGGTCGACGTTCCATTCTGTGTTTGTGTTTAGGGAACTGATGTCAATATTTTTTCCGCTTTCCATGATACCAAGTTTTACTTCACTTGGACTGTATCCCACAATACCAAACGAAACATTACATATTTGGACGTCAAAGGGAAAATATTGAACGTTTGTCCTGCATAAAGATTGTATCGTTATCCTTGGCTTCCAAATGATGTCACCGCTATTGTTAATCAGAATAATATCACTGCCGGTATGTATCCCACTTATATCATCAAATGGGTTAGCGACAACGACCGGTGGTACCCACACGTCTGAAGCACGCATGCGAACAGTCTTTGTGTCCTTAAAAATATCTGAATAGTTTTTCCAAGATAAAAGTTGGTCCGTCCATCTGACTTCTAAATTACCGACGGTATGAAGGACGCCTAATACACAGTCCAGTTTTGCGATGGAGCGAAGAGTTAAACTTGCTCGTACGTCCACTCTATCTTCTAAATGTCTGACCGGACGAATATATTTACTATAGTTCAAAAAAATATCAGAATCAAATAGCATTTGCATGGTTTGGCTTGTCACTGTTGTGAGATTTCCGACAGAAATGTATGTACTGAGGACAAAACATGTCAACAGCATTGGCGAGTACAGCACAGAAGGCATCGGGGGCCCGTGTAGTTCTCCTCCAAAACTCAGCATGCTATTATGGCAAAACATTTAGAGGACACCCATAGGGTGACGTCATTTCAAATTCCGTCTTCGATATGATTACATGAGCATTGAGATTGTTCTTTGTAAATAAAAAGGTCGGACAGAAGTTCGAAGCCATAATTGCCGGCTATCAATGGTGTCCGTTACAGGTGTAAGACCCAACACCCTACTGATCCTCCGTGTTTACAAAACTCCAGGCATATACTATTATGTGACGTCACATTAACACCTTTCTCCTGCTGCGTCCTACCGTTAAACCTGCCAGGTGAGGCGTGCGTAATGTCTCCTGATCTACAGGTAGGTATTGTTGATAAAAACCTACCGGGTCAACAAAGGTCGATAAAAATGAAAGATACGGAGTTATCATTTCATCACCGGGCGTTTCGGGTATAATTAATGCATTTTTGATCCCAGAGAAAAATCTAGATCTCCGTTATGATACGCATTTTGACGCATTACACACAAATATGTACGGCTGAACAATGAAAGGAGAAAATCGAACACGAAGCTTGAACCATTCAATATGCTTTTCTTAAACCACGGAGTACACTAAGAGACAACTCCTAATAAAAAGATAGTTTGACATATCGATTTACATATTCATGAATAAATGAAATAATGGTGTTATGTAGACTAATGGTGATATATAGACTAATGGCGATATATAGACTAATATTGATGTGTAGACTAATGGTGATATGTCGACTAATATTGATGTGTAGACTAATGGTGATATGTCGACTAATGGTGATGTGTAGACTAATGGTGATATGTAGACTAATGGTGATGTGTAGACTAATGGTGATGTGTAGACTAATGGTGATGTGTGGACTAATGGTGATATGTCGACTAATATTGATGTGTAGACTAATGGTGATATGTCGACTAATGGTGATGTGTAGACTAATGATGATATGTAGACTAATGTTGATATGTAGACTAATGGTGATGTGTAGACTAATGGTGATATGTAGACTAATGGTGATATGTAGACTAATGGTGATGTGTAGACTAATGGTGATGTGTAGACTAATGGTGATGTGTAGACTAATGGTGATATATAGACTAATGGTGATATGTAGACTAATGGTGATGTGTAGACTAATGGTGATGTGTAGACTAATGGTGATATATAGACTAATGTTGATATGTAGACTAATGGTGATGTGTAGACTAATGTTGATGTGTAGACTAATGGTGATATATAGACTAATGGTGATATGTAGACTAATGGTGATGTGTAGACTAATGGTGATATATAGACTAATGGTGATATATAGACTAATGGTGATATATAGACTAATGGTGATGTGTAGACTAATGGTGATGTGTAGACTAATGGTGATATATAGACTAATGGTGATGTGTAGACTAATGGTGATATATAGACTAATGGTGATATATAGACTAATGGTGATGTGTAGACTAATGGTGATATGTAGACTAATGGTGATAAATAGACTAATGGTGATGTGTGGACTAATGGTGATATATAGACTAATGGTGATATATAGACTAATGTTGATATGTAGACTAATGGTGATGTGTAGACTAATGGTGATGTGTAGACTAATGGTGATATGTAGACTAATGGTGATATGTAGATAATGTAGACTAATGGTGATGTGATATATAGACTAATGGTGATATATAGACTAATGGTGATGACTAATGGTGATATATAGACTAATGGTGATATGTAGACTAATGGTGATGTGTAGACTAATGGTGATATATAGACTAATGGTGATATATAGACTAATGGTGATATATAGACTAACTTTTATATGTAGACTAATGGTGATGTGTAGACTAATGGTGATATGTAGACTAATGGTGATATATAGACTAATGGTGATGTGTAGACTAATGGTGATATGTAGACTAATGGTGACTAATGGTGATATAGACTATAGACTAATGGTGATATATAGACTAATGGTGATATGTAGACTAATGTGATATATGATATGATATATAGACTAATGTTGATATATAGACTAATGTTGATATGTAGACTAATGTTGATATATAGACTAATGGTGATGTGTAGACTAATGGTGATATATAGACTAATGGTGATATATAGACTAATGGTGATATATAGACTAATGGTGATATGTAGACTAATGGTGATGTGTAGACTAATGGTGATATATAGACTAATGGTGATATGTAGACTAATGGTGATATGTAGACTAATGGTGATGTGTAGACTAATGGTGATGTGTAGACTAATGATATGATATATGGTGATATGTAGACTAATGGTGATATATAGACTAATGGTGATATGTAGACTATATGGTGATATATAGACTAATGTGTGGTGATATATAGACTAATGGTGATATATAGACTAATGGTGATATGTAGACTAATGGTGATATGTAGACTAATGGTGATATATAGACTAATGTTGATATATAGACTAATGTTGATATGTAGACTAATGTTGATATATAGACTAATGGTGATGTGTAGACTAATGATGTGTAGACTAATGGTGATATATAGACTAATGGTGATATATAGACTAATGGTGATATATAGACTAATGGTGATATGTAGACTAATGGTGATATGTAGACTAATGGTGATATATAGACTAATGGTGATATGTAGACTAATGGTGATATATAGACTAATGGTGATATGTAGACTAATGGTGATATATAGACTAATGGTGATGTGTAGACTAATGGTGATATATAGACTAATGGTGATATGTAGACTAATGGTGATATGTAGACAAATGGTGATATGTCGACTAATGGTGATATATAGACTAATGGTGATGTGTAGACTAATGGTGATATATAGACTAATGGTGATATATAGACTAATGGTGATGTGTAGACTAATTGTGATATGTAGACTAATATATAGACTAATGATATATAGACTAATGGTGATATGTAGACTAATGGGTGACTAATGGTGATATATGGTGATATATAGACTAATGGTGATATGTAGACTAATTTGATATGTAGACTATGTGTAGACTAATGATATGTAGACTAATGGTGATACTAATAGACTAATGGTGATATGTAGACTAATGGTGATGTGTAGACTAATGGTGATATGTAGACTAATGGTGATGTGTAGACTAATGGTGATATATAGACTAATGGTGATATGTAGACTAATGGTGATGTGTAGACTAATGGTGATATGTAGACTAATGGTGATGTGTTGTCTTCTGTCCCTATTGATATACATATACAGACCTTCACTTTTCCTCATGTCCTCTGCTTTCCTGCTTGACTATACACATTAAATTGTTATTGATATAGCTATAAGGACGGCTTTGATGAAGATGTCATGTATAATCAGGACAAATAACCACCACAAGGAAGACTTTTACACATTTATTTAATCAATAACGTACCGCGGCATGTACAGGTTGAATGACACGACGGTATTGTAGTGTAACAGGAGGCGGGGGATAGTCTAAAGTCTCTCTCTGGTGACAATTCAAGCTGATATCCGGGAACACGATTCATACTTTTCAGTTCGAAACATTAATTCTGTAAAATATTCATAAGATATCTTTAGATTCTAAGTTAGCTTGCTAGCATGGAACGAGTCCTTCCGGAAAACGTAATCAGATAAGTAAAGTCTTTGATATTGATCTTCCCACCTCCAAGATGTACCAGAGGTTGTTCTCAAAATATCACGTCTGTGTTCGATATGTTACAGAGCACTACACACAGATGTTTGTACTTCTAACCCTCTAGTCCGGCTACAACAAGCGGGTACATGAAGAAAACCGTGATACCCAGCGACAGGAAGAAAAAGAATATAAAAGAGAATCCGTCCAAAGCCCCGCCCACCATCCTCCATGTAATTCCTCTAATGTCTCTATCATCTACTGGCGCCTGGATACTGTCAACTTCGGCGTCGCTGTTGTCATCCTCATCGTCGTTATCGATAATGTCTGTCACTGCGTTCCTACTCGCCTTCTTTTTGCTGCACCATTTTTTACATTTTCGGCATGTCATGAATGCAACGAGATGACGTACTCCCTCTGGGGGTGTGGCCTCCTCGTCCTGATGGTAAACTCTTAATATCAGAATCGTTGCTATTGTAATGAGGGAACTGACGAATAACATCAGAGTGAGGAAGTAACAGAGCAGCGACATTGGTTCAGAGGCTTTGGGCAAGTTTTCTGCCACCATCGTCAGAAACACAGCGAAAGTCAAGAACGCCGTAATGGCGTAACCGACACGTTCGCCACAGTCAGCCGGAAGTAGAAATACCAAACCATTGAGGAGTCCAATAATAAGGATTGGAATGATCATGTTGACTAGGAAATAACCCGGCTTCCGGGAGAGATTTAGAGTGAAGACGACATACGACACGTCCGCGATAACGGTACTCATCACAGAAGTCGTATCCAAGCTCCATTCAACATTCTCCATGTAAAGGGACATGTCAATTTCGTTTGATGAATTCAGGACAATCTAAACAAAAAAAGGTAGTAATAACAATGTAAACCAGCGCAATAAGTTAGCATCAACAGAAACTCGTCATCCGAGTATAAATTATTTCATATCCGTGGAGAAATTAACCAAATGATTATCGTTCTTTATTGAACAGTTTTATCGTCTACTTTTAAAATGACGAGGGAGATGAAGTATGCCGTTAATGATAACTGTGATTGGTTGAGATCTTACCTCGGGCTTGGGGTTGATATTGTGTTCTAACCTTACACTGACCAGTTGTTAGATGGAAATATGTTACAAGGAAATTTAATGTAATCTCATTCTTACAGTTCATCCAGAAAGAGGCCAAATGTCAAAAACGTAGGATTAAGAACCCCCCAGTTAATTGGCCAGATTTATTTGGCCCTTTCTATGGAGGGATATGACGTAACTGTCTTTTACCTGATCCTTCACGTAGCCCAGCGCCGCAAATGTGACATTGCATGACTGTTTGTCGAAAGGATAGAGTGTGACGTCAACGCCACATGACGTTCGTGCGACTAAGCCGACATTCCAGATAGCATTACCCTCATAGTCGATCCGAATTTTGTATGCTGAGTCCCCAAGTTCCGTTAGGGAGTCGACAGAGTTGGTGAGAGTGACCGGGGGTTTCCAGAATGTTTCCTGCGGTAACAACAGGTTCTCCATTGGATTGTCATCTACTAGGTTCCACGTTAGAAGTTCATTCCTCCACCGTATCACAGCTAATCCCACTATAGCCAAGTTTCCGTTCAACTCATCAAAGTCCGTCACTCCGACCAATGTAAACTCAATGTCAACGTCTAAATGTTCAATTTGGTATATCTTTGGAAATATTTTGCTATTGTAGCTCCTAAACGGTTCATTGTCCAAGAATTCTTTGAAGTTTGTACTTGTAGCAGAGAAAACACTTTCAATATTCCATAAACTAACACAAAGAACGACCACAATCCAGTGACTCGCCATTTTGAATTCGCTAACCAAATATCATGACGTAGAATGAATGTTTGAAAATGTGTTTTACGTGAAATAAGACAATCGACTTCTCTAATGCAGAGACTATATTGCCATACGCGGTTAACATTAGCAAATATGACGATTTTGCGCATGCGTGCGACCTAATTAAATGTTGTAAAGTATATGTACCCATCTGACAATGATATCATTTACGGGTTGTATATAAATCTATGATACCTATCTAACGAACAAAGGCGGTCGTGATACGGAACGCTAGACTCGCCTTGCAATAACACCACTAGGCTTTGGTCAAAGCACCAAGTCTATAACCTTAAATATATACTCATTTAAAACAGTTATGAAAATGGCTGCATTGTGATTCTTAAATGAAGACCTACTTGTACAAAATCAGTGAAAAATCGGTTGTATTTTTCATTTTTTTTCAGTAAAGGGCCTACAAAATTAAGAAGTGTGACCCGGGTTTGACGTACATATGCTACTGACGGCGATAAACAATACTATGAAATCATATATTTCGTGGTGTTTGATTTTCGCGGTGTTTTAAAAACTTTTTCGTGGACTCTTGATTTTTCTGTGGATATATGAATTCGCGAGTTGAGAATCTCCTATGACAAATAGTAATTTTACAAAGGAACAGAACCCTAAACAACAAACTAGAATTTTACTACAAATGCTTAATAAAGCCTTGAAAATATGTATATCAATATCGTGGAAGTAAACTTCTTATCTTGTGGCTTTAACTGACTATTGAGGAAATAAACGCAACATTACACGAGAGCGTACACATAGGTGTATTTATATATATAGCGTTACACGATAGTGTACACATAGGTTAAGATATATACAACGTTACACGATAGTGTACACATAGGTTAAGATATATACAACGTTACACGATAGTGTACACATAGGTGTAGATATATACAGCGCTACACGAGAGTGTACACATAGGTGTAGATATATACAGCGTTACACGATAGTGTACACATAGGTGTAGATATATACAACGTTACACGATAGTGTACACATAGGTGTAGATATACACAGCGTTACACGACTGTAGTGAACAGAGATACACTGTAGTGAACAGAGACACACTGTAGTGACAGAGACACACTGTAGTGAACAGAGACATACTGTAGTGAACAGAGATACACTGTAGTGAACAGAGATACACTGTAGTGAACAGAGACACACTGTAGTGAACAGAGATACACTGTAGTGAACAGAGATACACTGTAGTGAACAGAGACACACTGTAGTGAACAGAGACACACTGTAGTGAACAGAGACATACTGCAGAGACACACTGTAGTGAACAGAGACACACTGTAGTGAACAGAGATACACTGTAGTGAACATTGTACAGAGATACACTGTAGTGAACAGAGATACACTGTAGTGAACATGTACAGAAATACACTGTAGTGAACAGAGATACACTGTAGTGAACATTGTACAGAGATACACTGTAGTGAACAGAGATACACTGTAGTGAACAGAGACACACTGTAGTGAACAGAGATACACTGTAGTGAACAGATATACACGGTAGTGAACAGAGACACACTGTAGTGACAGAGACACACTGTAGTGAACAGAAATACACTGTAGTGAACAGAGACATACTACAGAGACACACTGTAGTGAACAGAGACACACTGTAGTGAACAGAGATACACTGTAGTGAACATTGTACAGAGATACACTGTAGTGAACAGAGATACACTGTAGTGACAGAGACACACTGTAGTGAACAGAGATACACTGTAGTGAACAGAGATACACGGTAGTGAACAGAGACACACTGTAGTGAACAGAGATACACTGTAGTGAACAGAGATACACTGTAGTGAACAGAGACACACTGTAGTGAACAGAGACACACTGTAGTGAACAGAGACACACTGTAGTGAACAGAGACACACTGTAGTGAACAGAGACACACTGTAGTGAACAGAGACACACTGTAGTGAACAGAGACACACTGTAGTGAACAGAGACACACTGTAGTGAACAGAGACACACTGTAGTGAACAGAGATACACTGTAATGAACATTGTACAGAGATACACTGTAGTGAACAGAGATACACTGTAGTGTACATGTACAGAGATACACTGTAGTGAACAGAGATACACTGTAGTGTACATGTACAGAGATACACTGTAGTGAACAGAGATACACTGTAGTGAACATTGTACAGAGATACACCGTAGTGAACATTGTACAGAGATACACTGTAGTGAACAGAGATACACCGTAGTGAACATTGTACAGAGATACACTGTACACTGTACACTGTACACTGAATGTGTAAATATAATAATAATTCTTGATAATGAAGTATTTGTTTAGAGATCGTAAGATTTGTTGATGAAATGTTATAGGTTATTCTAAAGATATTTGAGAAACGATCACAAGTCATAAATTACATATAAGTGGTGTGACCACCGGATTTCGAAAGTTTTAGCTTATTTTTGTGAAATCTGATACTTATTTTGTAAAAGAAAAAAACCCCACAAAAACTGTACTTTTCACTCGATCATACAATGCGTTCGTTCCCTCTTGAAAACCGAGCGATATCACTTTCTAAATTACACTTCGCCTTTAGTAGTCATTTCATGTAATTAATCAACAAATATGTGCTATTCTGTATCCCATTCTAGATTTGTAGTGATAGGTGCTTTTCACGTGCGAGTCTTTTAAAGACATTTCGAATACAAGTAAGTAAACAACGAAAGGCAAAGACAATCATCGGCGTATAGGATGTGATGAGCCATTCACTGTTCAACATTCTTTTATTGGACTGCATCGACCTTCTGTCTATTCGAGAATTTTTTTTTTCGTAAAGTTACAAGTCTGAATACCCCTTTTCAAACTGATAAAATATATAAAACTTTTGGTTATCTGAAAGATGTTGGTCTATATTATAGAATCCGACTTACCATTTTAATCTTTAAAGTGATAATATAATCATTTTAGACTTCAAGCATTTGTCGTTTACTTTTTAGTTAGTTTCATGTTATTTCCTTTTGGATCGCTGTGTCTTTCACCAGTTGGTGGTCCTAATGACCTTTTACGTGTTCACGGGCCATAAAGATTGTAATAACAATAATAATATTTTTTGTGCCAGTCAACTTTCTGAGATTAACAAAGACAGGGTATTGGTATACAGAAAAGCTTCCCGTCCTTTTTTCCTCTATAATATTTTCTAATTCCGTAAATATTTTAGACATCTGAAATTACAAGTTATTTAAACAAGAGATATCTATTTTATATTTTGACATGAAAATATTTTTTCTTTTTTTTTCTCCGTTCGGATTTCCTTTGTCAGCTTTCATTATATAGAAATATGAAGTAAGAACTTGATGACACAAATAGAGAAAACCAAAAATGAAACAACAGAAAAAACATTTAATTGACTTTCTCAATAGTACAAATCACAGTTTATCATTGTTTATAATCGATTCAAAGTATGCACGTGTCATTATGTCATTGACCCGATGGGTTTATCCTTTATATAGAATATCATGTTCCTTTCACGGTCAACTGGTACTCATTGTTACGTATAATGAGAAACACGCATTTGAGCGATCCAAAGTCACTGATATTTCCAGAGCTGAGCTCCTTCTTATTATTCTTCATCGGAGGAAGAGGAGGTCGCAGCTACGGCGAGAGGAATCAAGAACACACATGAAATGACGACGGTCCCGAAAACGAACAACGAGAAGAAAAATCCGTCCAGTGTGCCCCCGACCACCCGCCATGTTATACCTTTTATATCAGCATTGTTTGGCTTGGCTTTTTTCACCTCCGTCTTCCGTTTCCCTTCATCGTCTGAATCTTCCTCCTCTTCCTCCTCCGACGACGATTCTTCTTCCTCTACTTCCTGTCCCGGTTTGGGTTCTTCTATAGCCTCCAGCTTTTGTCCACACCACTTCTTACACTTTCTGCAGGTAATGAATGCCACCACGTGTTTTAGCCACATGGGTACTGGGCTGTCATCATCCTGGTGATACACTCGTAGTGTCATGATAGTAATCACGGTCGATAAGGCGCTCATAATCAACATCAACGTCAGGAAGAAGCATAGCAGAGACATTGGTTCAGAAGATTTGGGAAGGTTATCAGACACCATGGTCAAAAACACAGCAAATGTGAGGAAAGCGGTGATAGCATACCCAACGCGTTCACCGGAATCAGCCGGGAGAAGGAATACCAGACCGTTAAGCATACCGAGGATAAGAATGGGAATGATCATGTTAACCAGAAAGTAGCCCGGTTTCCGAGCCAGATTAAGGGAGTAATCGAGGTAGGAGGCCGAGGCGGAGGAGAGCGCTTCCACGGTGGTGCTAGTCAAAGTCCATTCCACGTTCGGCATGAAAAGATCGGTGTTCATACCTGTACTGGTAGTGTTTAGTCGAACCTGAAACAGTTAACATTATTAATAAGTACCCCGACCCTAGTTGATGCTGTATGTCATACGTGTAACAGTAACGAGCCTAATTAGGACTCAAAGTTAATATTAACGAACAGCCGTAAATGTACACTAGCCAAAAGAATACCCCGAGTTGATGCTAATTTTGTCACACCTGTTATCATAAATAAATGTACTTGATGCTAATTTTGTCACACCTGTTATCATAAAAAAGAATACCCCGAGTTGATGCTAATTTTGTCACACCTGTTATCATAAATGAGCCAAGATGATACCCCGACTTGATGCTAATTTTGTCACACCTGTTATCATAAATGAGCCAAGATGATACCCCGACTTGATGCTAATTTTGTCACACCTGTTATCATAAATGAGCCAAGATGATACCCCGAGTTGATACTAATTTTGTCACACCTGTTATCATAAATGAGCCAAGATGATACCCAGACTTGATGCTAATTTTGTCACACCTGTTATCATAAATGAGCCAAGATGATACCCCGACTTGATGCTAATTTTGTCACACCTGTTATCATAAATGAGCCAAGATGATACCCAGACTTGATGCTAATTTTGTCACACCTGTTATAATAAATGAGCCAAGATGATACCCCGAGTTGATGCTAATTTTGTCACACCTGTTATCATAAATGAGCCTAGATAATACCCCGAGTTGATGCTGATTTTGTCACACCTGTTATCATAAATGAGCCAAGATGATACCCCGACTTGATGCTAATTTTGTCACACCTGTTATCATAAATGAGCCAAGATGATACCCGGACTTGATGCTAATTTTGTCACACCTGTTATCATAAATGAGCCAAGATGATACCCCGAATTGATGTTAATTTTGTCACATCTGTTATCATACATGAGCCAAGATAATACCCCGAGTTGATGCTAATTTTGTCACACCTGTTATCATAAATGAGCCTAGATAATATCCCGAGTTGATGCTAATTTTCTCACATCTATAACGCTTTCTGAGAGGCACAAAGAAGAGGTAGTGTTATTTAGTTTAGTTACCTGTGTGTCTGTGTATCCCCAAGGTGTAAAGGAAATCTTGCAAACTTGTTTGTCGAAGGGGTAGTAAGACACGTCTACGGAACAGGCCGACTTGGACACGACGCCAATCTGCCATTCACAAACGCCATCTTTATTAATCCGTATTTTATAGGAATTGTCGCCCATTTCAGTGAGAGATTCGACAGAGTTTGAAAGAACCAGAGATGGCCTCCAGAAATTATTCTGTCCCAAAATCACCTCCTGCATCGCGTTGATGGAGCTATTCCACATCAGAAGTTCATTCGTCCATGTCAGCACCGTATATCCCACAAGATCTAGGTATCCGTTCAGTTCATTCAACTGTGTAATTGCTACAAGATAAAACTGCATGTCTACTTCCACTTTATCTGTTTGTGCATTCCGCGGAAAAATCTTCAAGTTGTATGTACTAAAGGGAGGACTGTCTATCCATGATCGATAATCTGTGGCTGTCTGGGCGTTTAGTAGGTCTACAGTAAACAGAATAGTCACCCAAAACATCATACACTGTATCAGTCGCAACGAACCCATATCGTATGTTATCGGAATAACACGAAACAAGAAATATCCATCAGAATTCCTTTTCTGTTAGTTTCTCATTTGAAATATGGCGTAGGTGATGTGATTTAAAGTATAGTTGGTCGGGTGCTCTCCTGTTAGGTTGAAACAATGTCTTTGAGAGGCAACAGTGCGTGTCAACCAACCTTAAATTAAACATGCGCATTGACGACTATATTGTTTTAATAGGACACGATTTAAATAGCTTATACCAAGACGCACATAACCGGTCAGTCGATATTACAATAACACTGATTACGTCCGTGTGTGACCGGTCAGTCGATATTACAATAACACTGATTACGTCCGTGTGTGATCGGTCAGTCGATATTACAATAACACTGATTACGTCCGTGTGTGAACGGTCAGTCGATATTACAATAACACTGATTACGTCCGTGTGAGACCGGTCAGTCGATATTACAACAACACTGATTACGTCCGTGTGTGACCGGTCAGTCGATATTACAACAACACTGATTACGTCCGTGTGTGACCGGTAAATCGAATAGATAATAACACTGATTACGTCCGTGTGTGAACGGTCAGTCGATATTACAATAACACTGATTACGTCCGTGTGTGACCGGTAAATCGAATAGATAATAACACTGATTACGTCCGTGTGTGAACGGTCAGTCGATATTACAATAACACTGATTACGTCCGTGTGAGACCGGTAAATCGAATAGACAATAACACTGATTACGTCCGTGTGTGACCGGTAAATCGAATAGATAATAACATACTATGCCGAAAAGAAACAGACGTCGTATATGACCGTTAAATCATAATAAACAGTTTGTGATCGTCAAATCTTAAGAAGATTGTCAAATCAAAATGACGCCTGTTTGTGATCGATAAATCACACGACGTCTGTTTGTGATCGATAAATCACACGACGTCTGTTTGTGATCGATAAATCACACGACGTCTGTTTGTGATCGATAAATCACACGACGTCTGTTTGTGATCGATAAATCACACGACGTCTGTTTGTGATCGATAAATCACACGACGTCTGTTTGTGATCGATAAATCACACGACGTCTGTTTGTGATCGATAAATCACACGACGTCTGTTTGTGATCGATAAATCACACGACGTCTGTTTGTGATCGATAAATCACACGACGTCTGTTTGTGATCTATAAATCACACGACGTCTGTTTGTGATCGATAAATCACACGACGTCTGTTTGTGATCGATAAATCACACGACGTCTGTTTGTGATCAATAAATCACACGACGTCTGTTTGTGATCTATAAATCACACGACGTCTGTTTGTGATCTATAAATCACACGACGTCTGTTTGTGATCTATAAATCACACGACGTCTGTTTGTGATCTATAAATCACACGACGTCTGTTTGTGATCAATACATTACATGACGTCTGTTGGTGATCTATACATCACACGACGTCTGTTTGTGATCGATAAATCACACGACGTCTGTTTGTGATCTATAAATCACACGACGTCTGTTTGTGATCTATACATCACACGACGTCTGTTTGTGATCGATAAATCACACGACGTCTGTTTGTGATCTATAAATCACACGACGTCTGTTTGTGATCGATAAATCACACGACGTCTGTTTGTGATCTATAAATCACACGACGTCTGTTTGTGATCGATACACCCCACGACGTCTGTTTGTGATCGATAAATCTCGTTTTTTGTGATCTGTAGGTCACACGGATACAATTAATTAGAAACTTGTTGCACTTTGATGTAAAAGACAAGTGACACACATAAATAGATTATCCAATAAGTCATAAAGAAGATCTTGTCCAACGCTTTCCCGATCATTTCCCCATCATATTCATTTACAGACTTGTCACCAGTCCGGTCTTCACTACTCGCGGTGCCGGATTCTCTATTGGTCACAGACATTTTTCCTATTTCGACATCTTTTTTAGGACCGCTGAAATACCCAAACCGACTACAATTTGTTATGTCCACCAGTGTTTTTAAGTACTTTGGTACTGGTAAATTTCTTTTTTCGAAATGAAACCTTAAATTGAACACAGTGGCAAAAGTTATTGTAGAACTCAGAAGTAACATAATCAGCATATAGTAGGAAAGAAGAGGCATCGGGAACGAGGCTTGAGGTAAGCTTGCACTCATCAAGCTGAGGAAGACGGCAAATGTGAGGAAGGCAGCAATAGCATAGCCTACTCGTTCACCGGTATTCGATGGTAACAGAAACACAAGTGTGTTCAGAATCGCCAACAGAAAAATAGGCAGTGCCATGTTTATCATGAAAAATGTTGGTTTTCGAGCAAGTGAAATTGTAAATAACAAGAAGGCTTGTCTTCTTACGACCCTCATGCTGACTTCCGTTTCCGTTACATTCCACTCTTCACTGCCGACAAATTCATCTGTCAGAAAGCCCGATTCGTGCATGTTGAAATCTATTTCGGTATTGATGTAACTCATTGGAGTTAAAATCAAGGTGCATTTCTGAACGTCAAATGGGTAGTTTGTAGCATCAACGGCGCACCCCGTCCTACTCACCATCCCGAATGCCCATGTTACGTCTCCAGAAGTCATGTCAATGCGAACATTATGGAAACCCTGTCCCAAGGTCGATGCCATTGAATCCACGGAATTGAATATGGAAATTGTTGGAGTCCAAATAAATTCCGATGGAAACGAGAGTTGTTGAAATATATGATGAGATTTGTTGAATGTTGCGGTGACAAGTTCGTCGTTCCAGTGCATTTGAATGTTACCAACCATGTTTAGATGTCCAGTTATCTCGTCAAAGTGGGTAATGGCGGCTATGCTGAAGGACAGCGCTATCTCTACTGGGCGCGACTGGTTATGACGGGGGAATACATTATTACTATACGGACATAAAGAACAAAACGTTCGGTTTACAAAGTCCAGGACGGTGTCCGTCGTTTGTCCGATACACGGGACTGTACACAGGTATATCAATAGAAGCATATACATGTTTCTGTTTCAGCTGCTGCTGACGATGATGAGTATGATGCAGATGGATGTATTTTCGACTTTTTGAAACTGCACTTGAAGTTCTCATTCACCGTGGTAAGAATGCGCCATGCATTTCACACCATCACACAAAGTGATAAATTTCTCTCTGTTTCACGTATTGTCCGTTAAACTTCCCCTTTACAATCAGCTATTTATTTGTTCACATTTCAAGTAGAAAATAAATGCCTCTAAATAAAAAGGGAGATTTAAGATTAAATTCTGGAGAAATAAGTGTACCGGAATGATTCGGCTGTGACTGCGTCTGAACAATGAGCTAATCGTTTATTAATGTAATCTGACAGTCGTTCATTCAGTGCACCCAATTTCTTATCTAACTGGAGAAATTTTATATGTTTACGTCAAGTCATTAAACAAGGGTAATAAATATCAAATGTTACTGGAAATATTGAAATCAACGACTACATCTTACCTGTTAAATGACGTCCGCTTCATTTCGTCTTTTCTGATTGGGTGGCCTTACCTGAATATCCCATCCAGTCGAAGTTACCTATGGAAGACTTCTACACACGTTTGTTATATATCCAACATCACATCCATCAACATATACACTGTTCATGTTTCACCGTACAGTAAATTATAACGAACACGGCTACAGCTAATGTACGCTTAGTACGAAGTCGTGTCGTTTTTCCGGTCAAATGACTATTATGCTCATTGTAAATTTTTTAGAATAAAACGAATTTGGATATAACGAATTCCAATGTTTAGGTCCGCTGGAGCAAAATCTCTCACAAACCTTTCTGATTAGTACGAGCTGTCATCATAAACTCCCGGTCGGTATAATATTAGGACTCAACGTGGAAATCAAACGAAATACTAGCGGATTGTTTTAAGTTGCAGTATCTATGTCGTATATATAGTACATTGTACATGCAGTATAACTTTGTATAGAAATTCAATTGTTTTATGATATATATATATGTTTTAATTTGAGAAATGTTAGAAGCTACATTGTGTGCATAATATCATTATAGATACCTTTGCATATGTTTGTGTTCAAAACGTCATCCATTCTGTAAGAAGGCGGGTGGGGAGGGGTTGTAAGGGATAAAATTCTTACAAATTAATACAGATATTAACGTCCTATTAATTGATTTTGTGATATTTTGCTTATTACGAATTTTCAAATGCTTTTAGCAATAATTCGTAATAACGTTATTGCAAACTACAGTTATGGTTCTCAGAGATTCGTTATAACCGTGTATTACTGTGCTTGTTAACCATCAATATGTGTTACATGTGTGAACAATAATCTGTGTGTAAAATGTTGATACGTTACCTTGTAAAATGTTACTGTACACACGTTTTACATGTTATGTACCTGTATACTGTACACACGTTTTACATGTAACGTACCTGTATACTGTACACACGTTTTACATGTAACGTACCTGTATACTGTACACACGTTTTACATGTAACGTACCTGTATACTGTACACATGTTTTACATGTAACGTACCTGTATACTGTACACATGCATTACATGTAACGTACCTGTATACTGTACAGGTTTTACATGTAACGTACCTGTATACTGTACACACGTTTTACATGTAACGTGCCTGTATACTGTACACACGTTTTACATGTAACGTACCTGTATACTGTACACACGTTTTACATGTTATGTACCTGTATACTGTACACAGGTTTTACATGTAACGTACCTGTATACTGTACACATGTTTTACATGTAACGTACCTGTATACTGTACACATGCATTACATGTAACGTACCTGTATACTGTACAGGTTTTACATGTAACGTATCTGTATACTGTACACACGTTTTACATGTAACGTACCTGTATACTGTACACATGTTTTACATGTAACGTACCTGTATACTGTACACACGTTTTAAATGTAACGTACCTGTATACTGTACACATGTTTTACATGTAACGTGCCTGTATACTGTACACGTGTTTTACATATAACGTACCTGTATACTGTGCAGGTTTTACATGTAAAGTACCTGTATACTGTACACACGTTTTACATGTAACGTACCTGTATACTGTACACGTTTTACATGTAACGTACCCGTATACTGTAAACATGTATTACATGTAACGTACCTGTATACTGTACACACGTTTTACATGTAACGTACCTGTATACTGTGCACGTTTTACATGTAACGTACCTGTATACTGTACACACGTTTTACATGTAACGTACCTGTATACTGTACACGTTTTACATGTAACGTACCTGTATACTGTACACACGTTTTACATGGAACGTACCTGTATACTGTACACACGTTTTACATGTTATGTATCTGTATACTGTACACATGTTTTACATGTAACGTACCTGTATACTGTACACACGTTTTACATGGAACGTACCTGTATACTGTACACACGTTTTACATGTAACGTACCTGTATACTGTACACACGTTTTACATGGAACGTACCTGTATACTGTACACACGTTTTACATGTAACGTACCTGTATACTGTACACACGTTTTACATGGAACGTACCTGTATACTGTACACACGTTTTACATGTAACGTACCTGTATACTGTACACGTTTTACATGTAACGTACCTGTATACTGTACACACGTTTTACATGGAACGTACCTGTATACTGTACACACGTTTTACATGTTATGTATCTGTATACTGTACACATGTTTTACATGTAACGTACCTGTATACTGTACACGTTTTACATGTAACGTACCCGTATACTGTACACATGTATTACATGTAACGTACCTGTATACTGTACACGTGTTTTACATATAACGTATCTGTATACTGTACACACGTTTTACATGGAACGTACCTGTATACTGTACACACGTTTTACATGTTATGTATCTGTATACTGTACACATGTTTTACATGTAACGTACCTGTATACTGTACACGTTTTACATGGAACGTACCTGTATACTGTACACACGTTTTACATATTATGTATCTGTATACTGTACACATGTTTTACATGTAACGTACCTGTATACTGTACACACGTTTTACATGTAACGTACCTGTATACTGTGCACGTTTTACATGTTATGTACCTGTATACTGTACACACGTTTTACATGTAACGTACCTGTATACTGTACCAACGTTTTACATGTTATGTATCTGTATACTGTACACGTTTTACATGTTATGTACCTGTATACTGTACACACGTTTTACATGTAACGTACCTGTATACTGTACACGTGTATTACATGTTACGTTCCTATGTTCTGTACACATGTTTTTTACCGATTTTCAGTATACATTTAGTTTTAACTTTTAACTATTAGCTTTTCCCACGTGTATATCTTGTTTTGACTGTTTTCGTCACCTAAATCGGATGTGTCCTTACACTAGGGTAGGATTCTATAAATCACAGAACTCATTTTCATTACAAGAGAAAATTCAAATCTATTTCTCTGTGAGACAGCCGAACAAGACATTTTCCATTGGCATTTGACGTCATTAAGTTTATACTCCTCGTGACACTGGGTAATTTCAATATAGGTTATTACAGACCAGGCATGCTAAGTGATAGATATAGAGGTAGAAATGTATTTATATAATGTTCAACCTTTTAAACTTTTAAACATGAAAGGGATTTTGTATTTTGTGTAGGGTGTTACATTAAAGTTGTGTTATGAAATATATGCAAGATTTCAGCATTAAGGTTCTTACATGCCTGGTTGAAGTGATTCTGTCTTCAACAAATAACAAGTCTACACTCAAAGTATGTACAAAACGACTAGTTTATTGTAAATCATTTAATGTTATCTGTATTGAGTTAACTGGAAGTACTCGGCATTGTTTACAGTGAAACCACAGTCCAGGGGTACCATACATATTTACCATATTTATATTTATCACAACGACGTCGTTTTTGGCGTGTTACAAGTCTTTATACTTCAGTCCCACCAATAGTCTCGTGTAGTTACAAGTCTTTATACTCCAGTCCCACTAATAGTCTCGTGTAGTTACAAGTCTTTATACTCCAGTCCCACTAATAGTCTCGTGTAGTTACAAGTCTTTATACTCCAGTCCCACCAATAGTTCGTGTAGTTACAAGCCATCATACTCCAGTCCCACCAATATTTTCGTGTAGTTACAAGGCTTTATACTTCAGTCACAAAATATTCTCGAGTACAGATCCTGTAGTCAAAGAATTTTCCGGAAGTACAATGAAATTATGCTCTGGAGAAGAGAGGAACAAGAAACACACTTGAAAGCGCTATACTTCCGATAGTAAAGACAACAAAGAAAAACTTGTCTAAAGTTTGCGCCACGATTTTCCACGTAACACCATATCTAATTTCCGGTTGTTGATCTTCCTCTTCCTCGTCACTTTCGTCATCTACGACGACCGCCTGTGTTGGTTGTGACGGCGGTTTCTTAACCTCGTCTAAAGGGTCCAATGCCATCCCTAATCGACTCGGACCGGCGACCCCTTCCATCCCCAATCGACTCGGAGCGGCGCTGGGGCCCAGGCTCGAGGGCGGACGACTTTTCTCTTCCGGCCCCGCAGCCACTGGCTTTGGTTTCGGTGGCGGAGCTTTAGGTTCGGGTTTTTCCGGATTTCTGTATTTTTCTTTACATATACGGAAAGTCATTGTAGCCACAAGGGCAGCAACGTAAAATGGAACAGTAGAATCTTCGTCCTTGTCATGTATCCGGAGAGTAAAAATTGTAACAAGAGTCGACATGCTGCTCATGGCCAACATAGAGGAGAGGTAATAACTCAACATGGCTAATGGTGCAGAAGTCTTTGGTAAATTCTCTGCCAGAATCGTTAAAAATACGGCAAATGTTAAAAACACATTCACAGCAAAGCCTATTCTTTCTCCAGCATCGGCAGGTAACACGAAAACGAGACTGTTGAGCAGCCCGACTAGAACTAGAGGACTAATCATGTTCACAATGAAAAACACTGGCCTCCTTTTCAAATTCAGTACATACCTTCTAAACGGTTTGTTAGATGAGTTATATGTACTCACTGTTGACCCCTGCAAATCCCACTCCTCGTTTTCATCGTAGTACTCAATGTCCAGTTCGGTGGCCGAATTGTCAAACATGACTTCCTCTGCGTTGTAGTCCCACATGGTAAGAACAAGTTCACAAGCCTGACTATCGAATGGGTAGTAGGTAGCATCGACCGAACATCCGGTGGCAGTGGTCACTCCGGCTCGCCAATAGTTCTTGGCAGCGGCCAGAATGGTCTTAACGTGATAATTCTTGTCATAGATTGGTTTCAGAGCATTCACAGAGTTAAAGATGGTGATGGTTGGGTACCATACGTCTGACTGCAAGGAGTCCATCTCATACGGTACATGGTGACCTGGGATGTACCTCTGGGTTAGGTACTCGTCCTTCCAGATCACAGTTAGCTTGGCCATTAAGTTCATCACACCTGATACCTCGTCCAGATCGGTAATTTTGTACAACTGAAAAGTGACGTCAACGAATATTGTCTCGTTCTGCATCAAACGAGGGAAAACTCGCCTATCGTAGATTGTGGAGTCAAACAGATCCGCTAACATAGTGGCAAAGTCCGAGGCTGTTGGAACGGGAATGGTCTGACACAGTGAACAGTTGGACTCGATGAGGAACGACCCCCCAGACACACCGGAGATGGCCGTTCCCACCAGCAGCAGCAGCAGCCTTAAGTACATACTGCTCATGTCGTCGGAGTAAACGAGACGACGTTCCTCTGTCTATATAAATTGGTTTGTTCTCCGACGCAGATGACGGATTGCACGTACTCGCGGAGTCAATGGCACGTAACTAGATTTAAATTGATATGAATGCGTCCTTTGTTCATTTGAACTTAATATAGGGTCAAACTCAACGTGTTTTGGATTTAAATCTTTGCGAACATACATTCATTTTGAAATAGTCTTTTGTGTGTATTTGATATAATGCTAACCATTTATTTTCCTGGCAGATGTCCTATCAACATTTATATATCCAAAATTGTGTTGTAGAGACATTATATACCTTGTTGGAATTATTTTTTTTTCTTTCTCTCTCTTTATCTTTTTAACAACTCATTATGAAAAATATGAAATTTATTAATTAAATAACGACAGTTAATCAAATACCTAAACCATTACCAGGATGTTGCTTTCATTCATTGAAAGGTATATAATATCAATATTCTTGTGTTAAACTAGTAAAACATATCTGGGTAGGCAATTAACGAGTATATGGGAGGGTTAATACATGAGGGATAGAGAGTATAACAAGTGTCTGAGAGAGGGTTAATACTTTAGGGGTAGACAGTATAACACGTGTCTGAGAGAGGGTTAATACATATGGGGTGGACAGTATAACAAGTGTCTGAGAGAGGGTTAATACATATGGGGTGGACAGTATAACACGTGTCTGAGAGAGGGTTAATACATATGGGGTGGACACTATAACACGTGTCTGAGAGAGGGTTAATACATGTGGGGTGGACAGTATAACACGTGTCTGAGAGAGGGTTAATACATATGGGGTGGACAGTATAACACGTGTCTGAGAGAGGGTTAATACATATGAGGTGGACAGTATAACAAGTGTCTGAGAGAGGGTTAATACATGTGTGACATGTGTGTTTGATGGAAAATTTCTAAATATTCAAATACTTATTCGTAATTAAATTCAAACAAATATGTTAAATACATCCAGATATTGCCGTTTTAAAGAGGCTGATTCGTGGAAGAAACGATGTATTTGTCGTTCACAGAAAGTGATGAAAGTTTCTTAACCTGTAACTGGAACCCAGGTACACCGGAGAGGAAGCGTGTTCTTATCTTGATTGTTTAAGTTTGTAATTCTTCAACTTGTTTATGTGCATTTCAAAACATCAATGTATATATTTGTTAAATTTATTTGAATTATTTAAGACTTTTAGTATGATTTCATTTTTACATGAAAGATTGAAAAGACCATTCTCAACACCGAGCGAAGCTTATATGCCACCAGTTGAGAGAAAATAGAAAATAAAACACTAATAAATTTAGTTTAATTAATTCTTGAAGAAAATTTGGTTTGCTTGTGTATATGATGTTGGTCGGCGTCACACCAGATACATTTAATCTTAATTAAAAAAATTTCATTTGTGTAAAATGATCTTTATCTTTAGTAAAAGGATAAAAGGAATTCAGGAAAGCGAAAATGTTGTAATAGTAGCTTTGATTAACATTAGTTACGGGTAAAGTGCAGAGCACCTATTCTCCATACTATTCATTTCCGGAAGATTTTTTTCTCGCATGGAAAGTTTTCTTAATTTAAAAAAAAAAATCGCCGATTTACACGTTTTCATATTAAAATCACCATCAGTTTACAAATTAATTTAAAATCCGTTTTATGTGTGTTCTGTAATAGATAAGCATGGAACTATTCGCTTCAATGCGCATGCGAGTTGTTTTTTTCATTTTTACTGCGGCTATCCTGTCATACACACGCAGAAGATATCCTTGTATTACCCTTGATAGTTAACACATTCCACGGGTAGAAATGGGAGAAAATAATATACCGTTATAACACAGTTCTATATCATCCTTGGGTGGGGGGAAATATCGAACCAGGACTGGTCTATATTGCCCTGGGATGAGGGTTTATACTGTACCAGGACTGACCTATATTGTCCTGGGGTAAAGGTTTATACTGTACCAGGACTGGTCTATATTGTCCTGGAATGAGGGTTTATACTGTACCAGGACTGACCTATATTGTCCTGGGGTGAAGGTTTATACTGTACCAGCACTGACCTATATATTCCCGGGATGAAGGTTTATACTGTACCAGGACCGGTCTATATTGGCCTAAGGTGAATGTTTACACTGTACCAAGACTGACCTATATTGTCCCGGGGTGAAGGTTTATACTGTACCAGGACAGGTCTATATTGTCCTGGGGTGAAGGTTTATACTGTACCAGGACTGGCCTATATTGTCCTGAGGTGAAGGTTTATACTGTACCAGGACTGGTCTATATTGTCCTGGTGTAAAGGTTTATACTGTACCAGGACTGACCTATATTGTCCTTGGATGAAGGTTTATACTGTACAAGGACTGACCTATATTGTCTTGGGGTGAAGATTTATACTGTACCAGCACTGACCTATATTGTCTTGGGGTGAAGGTTTATTCTGTACCAGGACAGGTCTATATTGGCCTACGGTGAATGTTTATTATGTACCAGGACTGGTCTATATTGTCCCGGGGTGAAGGTTTATACTGTACCAGGACTGACCTATATTGTCCTGGGGTAAAGGTTTATACTGTACCAGGACTGGTCTATATTGTCCTGGGGTGAAGATTTATACTGTACCAGGACTGGTCTATATTGTCCTGAGGTGAAGGTTTATACTGTACCAGGACAGGTCTATATTGGCCTAAGGTGAATGTTTATTATGTACCAGGACTGGTCTATATTGTCCTGAGGTGAAGGTTTATACTGTACAAGGACTGACCTATATTGTCCTGGGGTAAAGGTTTATACTGTACAAGGACTGACAAGGACTGACCTATATTGTCCCTACAAGGACTGACCTATATTAGGTAAAGGTTTATACTGTACCAGGACTGGTCTATATTGTCCTGGGGTGAAGGTTTATACTGTACCAGCACTGACTAATATTGTCTTGGGGTGAAGGTTTATACTGTACCAGGACAGGTCTATATTGCCCTGGGATGAGGGTTTATACTGTACCAGCACTGACCTATATTGTCTTGGGGTGAAGGTTTATACTGTACCAGGTTTATACTGTACCAGGACTGGTCTATATTGTCCTGAGGTGAACGTTTATACTGTACCAGGACTGGTCTATATTGTCCTTGGATGAAGGTTTATACTGTACAAGGACTGACCTATATTGTCCTTGGATGAAGGTTTATACTGTACAAGGACTGACCTATATTGTCCTGGGGTGAAGATTTATACTGTACCAGCACTGACCTATACTGTCTTGGGGTGAAGATTTATACTGTACCAGCACTGACCTATATTGTCTTGGGGTGAAGATTTATACTGTACCAGCACTGACCTATATTGTCTTGGGGTGAAGGTTTATACTGTACCAGGACTGGTCTATATTGCCCTGAGTTGAAGGCTTATACTGTACCAGGACTGGCCTATATTGTCCTGGAATGAAGGTTTATACTGTACCAGGACTGGCCTATATTGTCCTGGGGTGAAGGTTTATACTGTACCAGGACAGGTCTATATTGTCCTGGTGTAAAGGTTTATACTGTACCAGGACTGGCCTATATTGTCCTGGTGTAAAGGTTTATACTGTACCAGGACTGACCTATATTGTCTTGGGGTGAAGGTTTATACTGTACCAGGACTGGTCTATATTGCCCTGAGTTGAAGGCTTATACTGTACCAGGACTGGCCTATATTGTCCTGGAATGAAGGTTTATACCACACCATCACTGGTCAATATTGCCCTGAGTTGAAGGCTTATACTGTACCAGGACTGACCTATATTGTCCTGGAATGAAGGTTTATACCACACCATCACTGGTCAATGTTTCAAGGATTTCAAAAATCCAACTTTGTTTCCCTATTGTGTCCTGCTTTCAAGCCTTCAAAGGCTAAGTCAAATCGTGTATACAAAATTAAACTCCATTCACCTTAAGTATAGAAAAAAAACTTTCATCCAAACAAGGATTTTTATAGATTTTCTGACATTGAGTTCTCGCCAAAGGATGCTCTAGACCATTTGGTAAAAATCTCCTCAGTCGTACGGTGTTTACTAAGTTGAGTGATTGTTTTGTGTTCATATCAGTTGCCTTACATAATCTCCCTTTACCTTATTATCATGTAGAATCACATCATACTTCATCAGTGTTCCCTGTGTGTGTCGCTTCCATCACTACGTGAAGTTCTGTACAGGTTACAATATTTCTTAGAATCTTTATTTAAAATTACCAATTTAATAAAACAATTACTCGTACAACAAAAATACGATAACAGTAATTTATTGATTTGATTATACAACGTAAATCTGTCTACTTCTGCTGTGGACATCAGAGTGTAAACATGAGGCGGTACAAGGGTTCTATATACATACCAATATGTTTGTCTAAGGTTAGGAAGCTACTCCTAAACGTAGGAGGTAATTAATCGTGTACGCCGACGAATATTACTATTATTCAGTAAACTTAATAAACACAACAAAGTTAACACGTTGTATAACAGAATATTTTGATGTCCGCCTTAAAAACGATGACTTCCTTTAACATGGCTCTTTAATAACCAATCAGCATCATTGCCAGGAGTAAAGAAAGTCGTTACATATAAATTTCCACGGAAGACATAACTGTTCTCTCATGGTCCTTGATTTTACATTGTGGCTGCTAACGGTACGAGGAAGAAGAAAGTGATGAGAGCATTCCCAGCCACAAATACGAGGAAGAATAAAAAGTCCAGAGTGGCCGAAATAAGCTTCCAATCTACACCGTATTTACCTTTCACGATTTCTTTTTCTTCATTTTCCTCGTCATCTACAGCCTCGTCGTCGTCGTCCGGTAACGGCGCCTTTTCGTTGTCACCAAGGTCGGCCCCAGGGTCAACCATATCTAATGGTGCATTTTTAGAATCTAGAGGATCTGGCGTTTTTATAGCAAATATCTCCATTTCGTCGTCGTCGTCATCTTCGTCCTTACATATTTTGCAATTTAAGACGGCGACGATGGTGGCCAGTCTGTCCGGTATTTTCTCTTCCTCCTCTGTGTGAAAAACCCGGAGCGTTGTGATTGTGAAAAGTGCAGTTCCAGCGCTAATACAGGTCATAATCATGAGATACACACATAGGATGGACAACGGCTCCGACGTCCGCGGCAAGTTCTCAGAAGTCAAAGTCAAATACACTGCAAAGGACATGAAAGCTGTGATAGAATAAGAGATTCTTTCTCCTGTCGCTGGCGGAAGTAGAAAGACAATAGCGTTAAGGAGACTCAGAATAAGGATTGGAAACACCAAATTCGCGAGAAAGAAGAGAGAACGTCTGGCCAGAGTCAGGGTAAATGTGGCATAATTGATGCTGTTGACGTCTTCTGTCTCCAGGACAGTTTTCTCAATACTCCATTCTTCGTTATCTCGGTAATTATCCAAATTTACTTCGTTAGACGAGATAGCAAAACGCACCTCTGTATTCCTGTATCCCCAATTTGTAAAAGTTACCTTACACTCTTGTTTGTCAAACGGAAAGTTAGAGGCGTCGACATTGCATCCTGTCTTCAGCACGATTCCGGGCCACCACTCCATCGCACCAGTAACCTGGTTACAGCGAATCTTGTTGGTTACGTCTCCGACCACTTTAATCTTGGAGACGGAGTTAAATACGGTGACGGTAGGGACCCATATATTGGAGGAAGAGATGAGAATATCACTGATGTTTCCGTGTATTGCCCAGTTGTACTGGTCTCCTATCAGCTGGTCAGTCCATGTTATCTTTAGGATACCGATTAACTCAAGCGTCCCTGCAACCTCGTCGAATTCTTTAATGGACGAAAGATAGAATATCATATCAACGTTTATAACATCAGCCTGGGTATCCCGCGGGAAAACCTTGCTATTGTAAGCGCCACTTGTGATGGTCGCGGAATAGAAATCCAAAAGCTGTGTGTAATTTGCTCCCAAAGTCCCGTGAACTATGAGAAACAACAAAGTGACTATCTTGTTCACGGCATCCATACTTTCATCTTATTCTCACGTCTGTAGAGGTATTATTTGGAACGTATTTTTGTGATATACAAACTGGCCGATACTTGACCACAGTGAGGCTCATCCAAAACGAGACTCTAGTGGTTTATTTGTAAGGCTTTGTAATAAACCCCCGGCATGTTTCGTCTGATGAACTTAAACAAAAGCCACGATCAGAGGACCACAGCAATGGGTTAAAACATTTGATATGTAAACTGCCCTGATGTTGTATATCGATAAGATTGTGCTATTAAATTCAAGATCTCGATAAAAAGATACCTATGTACATGACTTGAGATTGTTAACGAAGATCGTACCCCGCCTTTATAACCGTACATGTCCATTGTTTTATCATGGTAGTACATATATATTTTTCATTTGAAATATTGAATGAGGTCAATAGGCAATTAAGCAAACGGACTTACACGTGGCTTTTAGATATTTATGGAATATATACAGCACGTCTCTATAATGTTATAATTACGGTTTTAGAATGACAAATATTTGAAAGGTAATTGGCTATTACCGACATGCTTACAAAGCCCTGTGTAACCCAGTATATTATGCTGACCTTGTGTGTGATGCTGCAACGGTGTGAAGTGGTGGCCCTAATTGTAATATATTGGTCCTGTGTGTAATGGCGATCCTCTTAGCAATGGTGACTCAATGTGTAGTGTTGTCCCTGTGTGTGATGGCGATCCTCTTAGCAATGGTGCCTCAATGTGTAGTGTTGTCCCTGTGTGTGATGGCGATCCTCTTAGCAATGGTGACTCAATGTGTAGTGTTGTCCCTGTGTGTGATGGCGACCCTCTTAGCAATGGTGACTCAATGTGTAGTGTTGTCCCTGTGTGTGATGGCGATCCTCTTAGCAATGGTGACTCAATGTGTAGTGTTGTCCCTGTGTGTGATGGCGACCCTCTTAGCAATGGTGACTCAATGTGTAGTGTTGTCCCTGTGTGTGATGAATGGCCCTTTCTGAAATATTGACCAAATGTACAAGGTTGACCGTATGTGTAATGTTAAGCAGGTAATGCTGACCATGTATTTTTAATGTTAACTCTTTGTGTAACGATGGCCTTGTCTGTAATGAATTTATGAAATATTGTAATGATGGCCATGTGTGACGTTGATACTGAGTGTAACATTGACCTGGTGTGTTATGTTGACCCTATGGTAAATGGTTATGCTGTGTGAAATGTCGATCTTGTGTGAAAAGTCGATTTTGTGATGGTGATCATTTGTGTAATGTTGACCCTGTGCGTAATGTTGACCCTGTTTGTAATGTTGACCATGTGTGTAATGTTGATACTGTGTGTAACATTGACCTTGTGTGTTATGTTGACCCTATGTTTAATGGTTATGCTGTGTGCAATGTCGATCTTATGATGGTGACCATTTGTGTAATGTTGATCCTGTGTGTAATGGTGACCATTTGCGTAATGTTGATCCTGTGTGTGATATTGACCCTGTGTGTTACATTGACCTGGTGTGTTATGTTGACCCTATGTGCGATGTTGACCCTATGTGCGATGTTGACCCTATGTGTAATGTTGACCCTGTGTGTAATGTTGACCATGTGTAAATAGTTATGCTGTGTGCAATGTCGATCTTGTGATGGTGTCCCTTTGTTAAGTGTTAAACCTGTGGTGATCACGTGTATAATGTTGACCCTGTGTATCATGTCACCCTTTCCCTTGTGTTGACCTGTTATGTTTTCTTTACATTAATCCTGTCTGACAGCTTGACCTCTACCTTGTTATACTAGCAATACTATTTTTACCTTTTCCTTGATTGTCATTCTGACCTTTATCTTTCGTTTCCTGATGAAGTCTACTTTGTGTGTTATATTGACACTTTCCAGGTGTTTGATGGTAGATAAGTGTAACATGTGTGTAAAATTCCCTCCGGATTTGTGTGAAAGTTGACATTGTTGATATCTATAATGTCGTGTTAGGTTTAAAGACTGTGTATCAAGCTGACCTTTACCCTATTTGCGATTTTGTCCATTGACCTTGTGAATCATGTTGACCTTTCCCTTGTAAGTAAGGTTTCTAGTACCTCTAGTATTTGATATTTACCTTATATATTAGGTGTAAAGTACTTATGTGTGTGCTGTGTTGATATTAACCTGGTATATTAGGTGTAAAGTACTTATGTGTGTGTTATGTTGAGATTAACCTGGTATATTAGGTTTTAAGTACTTATGTGTATGGGTTTTGTTGACCTTGATTTTTTTTGTCATCTTGACCTTGAATGTCATGTCAGATTATCAATTTGGCCTGTCTGAGGATGACCATTCACACATACATTTTTACACATGAATATGACCTTTTGACCATATCGTCATTTATAATTTCATACAAAACACAGTGATTATGAATATGTGTACCGTAAGATATCCCATCAGATATCCTAGCAGCTCGACCGACAACGATTACAATTGTGTGTATATACATAAACAACTAGATATCTATTGAAATATAACAATGTACGTTAATCTGCTGTATGTTTATTTACTAACATGAAGAAACAATGTTGTAACTTGATAAAATTGACAAATATTACCAAAACAGTTAATTTGATGTCTCCAATGAGCGTTGGTTAAATGGTCTTACAAAACTTTTACAATGATAGAATTGTTTTCTCTGTGTTTGATAACTGCCATTTGTTTAGTGATTTAGGTAATAAAACACGTTTAGGAACTAAAATGTACAATTTGTACAACCTTTACATAAAACATTCATTTTTTTTATTACTTTTCTGTAATAGTTCTCATTGGCTACACGAAATCACTGAAAGTACTTTGCAGTGTCACAGAGGCCTCTCAGTAATATTGGACAACCAGAGGGACAATGAAAATAGCCAGTAGAGCTATTTGACCACCAAGGAAGAGAACGAAAAAGAAATGATCAAGCGTCCTTGCCACTGTAACCCAGCTAACTTTGGGTACATAACAAAGTTCACTAAAATCCATGTCAACTTCCTCCTCCTCTTCGATCGTTTTCCATTTCTGGTTGGGAGCTCCAAATTTGATGCCTTGTGGAAGTTGATCCAGAGCCTTCATTTCAAACGTGTTTCCGTGTATGTTTATCCACGTGTGTGGATCTTTCTGCTTAAGTGACTGTTTGGCGGGATGCACCTTCAGGTTTTTGTTCGGATTCTGACACACTTTACAGCACAGACAAGCTACAAACGTCATTACAATGTGCGGCACGGGAATCTCGTCGTCTTTGATATGCCAACGGACCGTGAAGATGGTGACCATTGTTGTCAGGCCTCCGAAGGCCACCTCGCACACAACATACCATGACAACAGAGACATGGGGTCAGAAGATTTCGGAATATTGTCTCCTATTAGAATCAAAAACACGGAAAATGTCAGGAAAGCTGTCATCGCGTAGCCCACGCGTCCCTCGGGAACGGGAATGTAAAAGGAGAAGACGGTGAGAACTCCGAGCAAAAGTACGGGTACAATCATCACAATAATGTACCACATAGGTCGACGCAGAAGGTCGACTTTAAAACTGATCATAGATTTACCGTCAATGGTAGATGATTCTATGGTAGTCGTTACCAAGTTCCACACCAAGTTTTCCTCGTAAAGAGTAGTATCGATGTCCGTTCTGGAGGTAACTAACAAGATCTCGTTCAATTGAAAGTCCCATGGTATTATATCGATTGAACAGTTCTGGGAATCAAACGGATAGTTCAGTACATTGACAGAACAGCCAGCCTTGAGGATGACCGGTGGAGACCAGGTCGTCCGACCATCGTACATGACGGTCACTTTGTTGTACTTGTGACCCAGAACCTTTAGCGCATCGACAGCGTTATAGAGGGTGATTGGCGGATGCCACACATCCTCTCTGTTCATGATGAACCGATCAACTCCATCATAGTCGTTTGGGTTCCATGTGAGTTGACTTGTCCAGCTGACGTCCAAGACACCCACAGTGGCTAGAGTTCCGGCCAACTCGTCAAACTCTGTGATGGCTCTAATAGAGTAGTCTATGGTCACCGTAAGGACATTACTAGTATCATCTGTAGGTATCACATCGTCTTGATAAGACGCCAGAACTGCCGTATACCAAGTTTTCACCTGGGTGGCGGATACATTGAGAGTGCCTACACCATACGTTGTACCGACGAGGCTAATCCACATCAAACACATCAAAAACTGCTTTAACATAATCCCTGCCATTCTTAGTCCGTTTCAAACCGAAATGTCGTCCATATTGGGGCAGCCGCCGTGTACTGATATACGGGAACTGGTTAAGGTGTCCTTTGTTTCAGCGCTATTCGTTCCGTTGAATAGTTAGCTTTGTGACGTGTTTGCTCCTCCTAAATATGTAGTTAGTATACCCGAGTAGGTTAATATTGTAATCAAATGGTAGTCAGACCCTAATTATTATGTAAAGGAATTATTTAAATATATCTGTTTTGCTTTGAAAAATTGGGATGAAAGTTCATTACAATCGCCCGAATGTCCAATCTGCGCAACAACGTAATATCGTAGGAATCTAACGGTATAAGCTTAAAATTTAGGTCATTATTGTTTTTATTTTACTATCAATATACGGGTATTTTATTAGCTATGTTAGATATCTGTTAAATATCTGACTAAATAATCCCGAAATACATGGATTGTCTGTGCAATACTTTAACATTTCGGCTTTAAAGAACCATCTTGACACAAATAAGTAACAGTTTATTTTATGTGAGATTGGGAGACATGACGTGTTTTTACAAATATCAATGGAATAGTCTAGGAGGTTATTCAAATTACAATTCATGGAACGCAGGCTTACCATATACCGCTTAATGTCACCTCTCTTTTTCTAGCTCCTTCTATGGATATGGAACAGCCAATAGATGAGATACAAGTCCCCCCTCCCCCTCCAGTACGACAATATAAGCCCTTCCTCGCCCCCCACCCCCCACTCCTACTTATGTCTAATAAGACAGTTTTAAGTCCTTCCCCGTCGTTCCCCTCCTAGTAAGACATATTTCAGTTTTTCCTGTCGTTCCCTTTCCATTTGGACAGATATTAGTCCCATTTCTTACAATTTGTACTTGTATTCAAAGTCCCGTTCTCCTGTCTGCAGTGCTACGCCGACGCTTAAAGGTAGATAACTCCTGTAGGTGATATATGAATTATTGATTTATGGAAACAGAGTGAAAATTCGACTTTATCAAATAAATGAAATATTTATTGCATGTAAACTTTGACGATTTATCTTAACGACTTTTTTTACAGTTGGATACACACAAGTTGGTAATTTATCAGTTGGAGCATTAAAAATGGAAAGAAAGAAAAAAAAAAGAGAAAAAAAATGTTGAAAAAAGTTTTGTCTTGACAACCGTCAATCATAAGTTTATTATCGAACTAATTAATTGCAACATAATTCCTTCTTTGTTTTTCACAACGATTAGTTTATATTTAATGGCAAGAAAGAGTCATACAAAGCAGCCTTGGAAAAGTGTCTTTATACCTCAAAGTGTGACCAATAAGTATAACTGTTTTCTAGTGCAATTATCTACCTTTCGTGTCAAACTGGATAATAAAAATGAGTATTGGAAGACCAATCCATTTATAATACAATTTATTTACAAATGAACGAAATATTACATTAAAAATATACATAGATTAAAACACACACACACACACATATATATATATATACAAAATAACACTTACATAGAATCCCTAATATGGATGATAAACAATGGATTTTAAATGTTTATGCTTACACATTCATTCCTGAATTCAACAACAAAAGTCCTCTAAAAATTTGCGTAAATATTATCTATTTTAAGATCATTCTTTATACTGGAAAACTCGGGAGTGAACAGTGCACTTGAGTTAACATCATAGTGCACTAGAGTTGATACTGTAGTGCATCGAAGTAACCACCGTTGTTGCAATGGAGTGCACTACAATGTTTGCTCTGGAGCACTTACCTGTTCACTCACGTGCACTACAAAGAACTCTAGATACCAACTTTAATTTGTTCCCAGCTGCAGCATCATGAGGCATTCGAATGACAAACATACTGGTTTTGTTGCCTTTTAAAGACAATAGTAATCACTATTAATACTAGCTTACAACTCGTGCAAAGAAATAGGTGTACATTAAGTTTTCTTGAATCAATCATGATAACTTTGTGTAATGAAAGAAGTAAGGTTAATCAAAACCTTACGTCACGGAGATGTGATTGAAACGTACAAAATCAATTGGTTAAACGAAAGTTCTTATAAAGATATCTAGGTGAATGGACCATACCTTGGTATTTTGTACCAGCACTTAATTATGTACCAGTTCATTTGTATCGGGATGTATCAAATGTACGTGTGTTGGAATGTTTCTTGCGTGCTCGAATATTGTCCTCTAATGAATCTGATTTTATAGTGGGCGTGTCATTTCTTATATATGATGTCATATAAGATAATAAAGTCACGATTTTTACTTTATATAACCTTGGTGATTAAAATGTTTAAGACGATTGTGATTTCAATAGTAATAGTTCACCAAGTCCACACTGACACTGAGGTGAACAATTTATTCATTCGTTTTATTGACTTTAGATCTTGCGGCCCATCACTACATATGACTGAGCTTACAATATACAGTGAAAACTTTCGTAACTGACAAAACTGACATAATTTACATGATGTTCCAAGTAAGCTTATACAATGAACACAATGCACGTGTGATCACATGATTTTATAGGAATTTTTATTTTTACGACTTAATTATTGCAAAATTAGACAAATTAATAGTATTTGGTATACGTAGTATTAATCTATGAATGATATCATACACTGAACCAAACTGAAGAGAAAATTGGTACGCGTGGAATTTATACATTATACAATAGGAAGAGTACACGGCTATATGGAAGATTAGAATGTTAGAATAGAGAGCAATGCCATTGGATAACTATCTCAGCCACACATATCTAAAGTCCGATTCAAATATATGTTTTATAGATACAAGTCAAGTGAGGTTACTATTTTGTTACCCGTTACCATATAAAGAAATTAATTACCGTCTTTAGTATACAATTATCAGACTTTAACAACTTAAACCAATTTCAATTCACTTTATTCCATTTGCAAATAGCATATAGAATTACATATTAAAACAAAATTTTGTACAATATATATATATATCTAACTAACAGGTAAACAGACAATAGGTGTATACACACTAACAAGTAAACAGACAATAGGTGTATACACACTAACATGTAAACAGACAATAGGTGTATACTCACTAACCTGTAAACAGACAATAGGTGTATACACACTAACAGGTAAACAGACAGTAGGTATGTACACACTAACAGGTAAACAGACAGTAGGTGTATACACACTAACAGGTAAACAGACAATAGATGTATACACATTAACAGGTAAACAGACAATAGATGTTTACACATTAACAGGTAAACAGTCAATAGGTGTATACACACTAACAGGTAAACAGTCAACAGGTGTATACACACTAACAGGTAAACAGTCAATAGATGTGTGCACTCTAACAGGTAAACAGTCAATAGGTGTATACACACTAACAGGTAAACAGACAATAGGTGTATACACACTTACAGGTAAACAGACAATAGGTGTATACACACTAACAGGTAAACAGACAATAGATGTATACACATTAACCGGTAAACAGACAATAGATGTATACACATTAACAGGTAAACAGACAATAGGTGTATGCACATTAACAGGTAAACAGACGGTAGGTGTAAACACACTAACAGGTAAACAGACAATAGATGTATACACATTAACAGGTAAACAGACAATAGATGTATACACATTAACAGGTAAACAGACAATAGGTGTATACACATAAACAGGTAAACAGACAATAGGTGTGTACACATTAACAGGTAAACAGACAATAGGTGTATACACACTAACAGGTAAACAGACAATAGGTGTATACACACTAACATGTAAACAGACAAAAGGTGTATACACACTAACAGGTAAACAGTCAATAGGTGTATACACACTAACAGGTAAACAGACAATAGATGTATACACATTAACAGGTAAACAGACAATAGGTGTATACACACTAACATGTAAACAGACAATAGGTGTATACACACTAACAGGTAAACAGACAATAGATGTATACACATTAACCGGTAAACAGACAATAGATGTATACACATTAACAGGTAAACAGACAATAGGTGTATGCACATTAACAGGTAAACAGTCAATAGGTGTATACACACTAACAGGTAAACAGACAATAGGTGTATACACATTAACAGGTAAACAGACAATAGGTGTATACACACTTACAGGTAAACAGACAATAGATGTATACACATTAACAGGTAAACAGACAATAGATGTTTACACATTAACAGGTAAACAGTCAATAGGTGTATACACACTAACTGGTAAACAGTCAACAGGTGTATACACACTAACAGGTAAACACAATAGATGTGTGCAAACAGGTCAATAGGTGTATACACACTAACAGGTAAACAGACAATAGGTATATACACACACAGGTAAACAGACAATAGGTGTATACACACTAACAGGTAAACAGACAATAGATGTACACATTAACAGACAATAGATGTATACACATTAACAGGTAAACAGACAATATGTGTATGCACATTAACAGGTAAACAGACGGTAGGTGTAAACACACTAACAGGTAAACAACATGTATACACATTAACAGGTAAACAGACAATAGATGTATACACATTAACAGGTAAACAGACAATAGGTGTGTACACATTAACAGGTAAACAGACAATAGGTGTATACACACTAACAGGTAAACAGTCAATAGGTGTATACACACTAACATGTAAACAGACAACAGGTGTATACACACAGGTAAACAGTCAATAGGTGTATACACACTAACAGGTAAACAGTCAATAGGTGTCTATAACTAACAGGTAAACAGACAATAGGTGTATACACATTAACAGGTAAACAGACAATCGGTGTATACACATCAACAGGTAAACAGACAATAGGTAAACAGACAATAGGATGTATACACATTAACAGGTAAACAGACAATAGATGTATACACATTAACAGGTAAACAGACATTAACAGGTAGGTGTATACACACACACTAACAGTGTACAACAGACAATAGGTGTATACACATTAACAGGTAAACAACAT